CTCCTCCCCCACCTTTTGCAGACCGCCTGGGTGTACAAGTAGAACAATCAAAGAAAAACGCAAGTATATATAATTTATTGATGTATATCAAAATATATATAGCAGTCTATCTATAACTCCATCATCACTCCAACTACTCTCATTAGGACAACCTTTTTTTTTTAATTCATATTTATATATGTAAGAAAACACACAAACACACACGCATACATACACACATTGTATATGTAGATTTTTTAGGTTTTAAAAGATGGGAGTAATTAAATTAGGCAGCTGGTGCGACAAAGGTGCCACCATCATCGTCGTCGTCGTCATCGTCGCCTTCACGATCATGAAGTTGTGTAATTAATATGCCGAAATTAGGGGAAACCCTAATTTCTTCGGAGGTTAACTCACTACACATAACAACCACCACCATATTAGTAATTAACACACAGATTGAAATAATAAATATATTCAGAAAGTAATTGATGGAAATTATATTATATTTTAATATTTATATCTCCGATCCCCTTATTTATAGCAGCAACTACAAAGAACAAATAAAAAAAATAAAAAAATAAAAAAGAAGAAAAGAAAATAAAATTCGCCTGACCTCCTTTTGGAACAAAGGTTCCATGAATTCGAGTGTGTGTGGTTTGGCTGTGAGATTCAATTATTCACTTATCCTTTTACCTACAGTGGCTTTAGCTTCCATTACATACAATTTGACCTAAGTGAGAAGAGCACGAGTTTTGCTCATGGTGGAGGGCGCCCCACACGTGCTCGCCTCCAGTTTCTTGCGCAGACTTCTTTCCAGCTCACATTTACATTAATTAATTGGTCTTGCAAATATTATTTCTATTTCCTTTTTCTTTGGAGGAGACTTAGGGTTTTGGACTTTGGTGATTAATATACATTTTGTTTTTGTTTTTCTTTCTCATTTTGTCTTTGGACTTTTGTGGTCAACACGAAGACCATCGCAGCTTGTCTCTGTTTTTAAGACGATATTTTTTCTGGTCAACACGAGGACCATCGCAGCTTGTCTCTGTTCTTAAGACGATATTTTTTCTGCTACAGTGCTTACGGCTTTAATTTATCGAAAATCGTCCCCCAAGATGCAATGTGCACTCCAAATTCTAAGTACAACAAACTGTACTTTGCCTAGGAACTTTTCAATAGAATCCGAGAATAAGTTAGGCTAGAATTTTAGAAGAGAAATGGGTTTCAGATTTTAAGCCAGGAATTACGGGAAAAACGAGGGTTTATTTATAATTAGATATGAAAAGTAGTGTTCTTTAGAGCAAATAAAAAATATCTAACCCACTGGTCCGGCCCCATAAAGCACCATTTCAGATTTAGTGCCTTAGTCGTCGCACGATTTCGGTTTGAGTTCGATTGCTTTGCACTGGTTCGACTGCATCACTTCAAATCAATTGGGTCAATTCCAAAATGGGCTTCTATATGGGACAAAAGGATATTATAAATATGAGTTTACTAGACTTATGGGTGAAGTGCCACTAGCTTAGCGGACTCTACATTTGCAGCCCGGCC